GAGTTGAGGAGGATTTTGGGAAATGTAATAAAGACGGAGTTGCCATGTGATCCCCGGGAAGACAGGATGCATAAGGCAGGTGTCCTCGATAAGTCTTTATAAAATATATAGATTAATGGTTGTAGTTAATATTTAAGAGAGAGCTAGCAATACAAAATCCTAGTCATTGGCCAGCATCACTGTAAATAATATAAGACTGTGTGTGTTATTTGGGGGCCCTAACATGGAGGCGGGGCTCAGGTGGCTGGCAGAAAGAGTTATCATTACACCACAGTATTTTGAAAAGTAAATAATAAAATGTATTATATTTTTAGGAGGAAGCCAATCATCTCTACTGCAAAACATTCATTTATTTAAATGTCAGTAAAGTTTTCTCTATACATTTCTGTCCCATCTATTAAGTTGACTTTAGAGAATTTTCAGATACTCAAAGGTAATTAACAATGAAAATCATAAGCAGGATTAAATGCCCATTTTTCTTTTTGCTTGAAATATTTTTTAGGTTAGTATCATAATTTACACAATGACAGTCTTCCTTTTTCAAATATCTGTTTTCTTATATCAAAGCTCTTTCCTGGGCTGTGTAATTATACACAACAAAACCTAGGCATTTTCTCACAAAACTAATCCAAGCATCCAGAGACCCTATGGACATCAGGCAGATCAACAAATGGTAGCTTCTTAAAGCTGACTGTTAAGAACGATGCCAGGTATGCTGAGCTACCTACTTACACTATAATTTATAAATATTCTTTAGGCTATGGGATCATATTCATTTAAAATGAAAGCAATAAAAGTATTTCTCTAGCATCTAAGAAGCTGAACATGTTTGTTCAAGATTTTTAAAGAAGTACATGTATAATTACTTCTTTCTTTTTCAAAATATTATTTTAGATATAAATGTGCAGAGCATAACACAAGGTTCACCAGAGGGTGGAACTTTTATCTGTAAGCCGGAGTAAGGGATATGCTGGAGGTTGTGGTTCCTCCAAGCTTTGTGAGAGCACAGCTATTTCAGTGTTTAGTTTAGTTCAGGTTTTGCTTCTGTGTTAGATAAATAAAAATAGGATAAAATCACTGAAAATACAGTTCAGTTGAAAGTTGACAAAAGGAAAATAATATGACCTTTTCACAAAAACCAACTAACCAGCTGACTGATCAACCAACAGTCTCACCGGCTAGACACTGCCTCTACTTGAACGAATTAGATTGTCTCTAAACTGTGAGATTGGGATCTAGAGCTATGCTGGGATGGGTACCTATCCTATTTACTTTCTCATTAGGTGATTCCAGTGAAACAAGAACTTCAGTTTTAAAATCATGATAACTTTGGCAGACAAAGACAGTTGGAAACCCGAAAGTATGTTTTCACATTTTCTCTGGTGCCTTACATTATGCATGCACACGTATCTTTATCTATATGTATATCATCTATATCTAAATCTTCTATAATACAAGCCAGGTTCTGCCTTCTGCACTTGACTCTGAAATCCATTTCACTGGGTACCTTTACTAAGTTCATTTGTTCTTTAAATTTTTTTAATTTAATGATTCATTGTGTGTGTGTGTGTGTGTGTGTGTGTGTGTGTGTGTGTGTTTATTGCAAAACATGATGATGTCCCATTTATTAAAAGTTCAATTAAACAAGCAAATTTCTTTTAATTTAGCAATTTATATTTTCTCTTCCTGCCAGTTTCAAAATGATATTTTCCCCCTACAAAGCTGGTACTCAGAAATTTTTTTTTGTTTTTGTTTTTGTTTTTTTGAGACAGGTTTTCTTTCTACAGTTTTGGAGAGAACTCCAGAACAGTTTCAAAACTGTTCTGGAACTCCCTCTGTAGACCAGGCTGTCCTCAAACTCACAGAGATCTTCCTGCCTCTCTCTCATGAGTGCTGGGATTAAAGGCCTGAGCCACCATCACCTGGCTTAAAAATGTATAGTCCAAGCTGGCCTCGAACTCGTGATCCTCATGCCTCTGCCTCCTTCGGCAAATCCTACTGGCATATGCCACACAACCAGTCAGAAAATTCTATAGGATAGAAAAATTCATTCTGGATTTCAACTAGTGGTTTCTAATTCCATTCCTTTGAGGAAGTTCAAATAGGAACTGTATAACAACAATATAGAAAACTAGAGGTGAGCCATTGATGGGTTCTAATGTATCTCCTATTCATCCAACTTGCTTTTCTAGACACATTTTTGTTGTCTCTGAGGTAGATTATATCACATGGGCTTCAGATATGTAACCATGAAATGACCATGTAATGTATACCTGTAAGGATAATGCCAGCTGCTTACAACTCTCAGTGTGTGTGGCTCCCCTCCTGACTCTCCTTTGTCAAGAACTACTTTAAACAATCAACATGCCACAACTTGACCTTTGGATGATGTATCATATTTCAAACCTTTTGTTTTTGCACAAAACTGAAAACTCTGGAAAAATATGGAAAGGAGTAAGACCTTTATGTTTTCATTAAACTGTTAATACATAGGCCGTTGGTTATATGTTTATTTAAAAATAAATTTAATGGTAGTTCCACTAAAAAGTGTGATTGTCATGGTGATTTGAAAGCACTGTTTAAGACAGAAACAAAATAGAAACCGCAGCACTTGCATAAAAAGTTCTCTGTATTGGATTATATGATGATATATACCTGTTGAAAAATATATGTGGAAAAAAGAAATAATTTTTTGTACAACCATGACTCATGTATAAGCTTTCATTTATCCTAATCCAGCCAGCCATGGTAAATGTGTTTGGCTTACTGGACACACTTATGCTGCATTTAAAAGGGAGCAGAGAAGTTTATTAAAACAGAGAGCTCCTCAAACAGCATGGTGACGTCAGGGAGCCAGGTCCTTAGAGCACACTGTTGTTGTAAGCAGAGGTCCTCAGTTTCACACTGGTTATAAAACGTTATTTTGTGCTGCTGGCCTGGAGTGAGAACGCCATACATCTGTAGGCAATTAGAAGGAGCTGGGCTGTGTATTTGATTAGCTCACTAATAAACCGGCACAAGTGTGACTCGGCTTATATTAGTCAGATCCCTAGACAGATTATTCTGTTGTTATCATATGAAATAAACCCTTTTGTCAACAATTAAGTAAATCCACATTTATGGGCACTTTGCAAAATTGGGAGGTGGGAAGAAATCCAACTTAAGCCTTAAGTCATTAAAAAACTTTTAAACCCACTTTTCACGGTACAGACCCCAACCCAAATTTTAGAAATTGCTGAATTATTTTGAACAGTTTAGATTAAATACTCTGATGTGTATATAATAGATAACTATGTATTTCTATTTTCCATAAACAAAGTGCCTAATAATTTTAATTTGCAATTTAAAAATCCCCAGAGAACTAAGAATTATAGTATTTTTAATATGTAAAAAATAATTTTGTAAGGTAGTCTTTTAGTATTCTAATTAATTTAATAAATATAAGATAAAATTTCATCCAGTAGTACTAAAAATAGTCAAATAACTACTTAAAATTACAACTTTCCAATTAGACAGAGTGCATGTAACATATCTGTGATAATACTGTGAAATTGAACCCTACATATATGACTAATGGCTTTATAAAAAAAAGATTTCTGTTTTTTATTAATTAAATATGTTTGTTCCTGTGGGTTTTAAAAGTGTTTTAAATTGAAATAGAAGTATATCACTCCCTTCTTCAATTCATCCCTTTCTAGATGCCCTACCCCCACTCCCAAGTTGATAGCCTATTTTCTTTGATTATTATTGTCACATGTATATGTATGTGTATGCACACATATGTGAATACAACCTGCTGAGTCTGTTTTGTTGTTGGTGTGTGTATGATTTGGGGGTTGCCCACTCTCAATTGGATAATAACAAGGAAGTGGAAACAGTCTAAAACCCTTCAATAGATGAGTAGAAAATAAAAATGTGGTACAGGAATGCTCTGAAATACTATTCACCCATAAAGAAAAATGAAGTCATAAAATTTTCAGGTAAGAGATAGACCTAGAAAAGACTATACTGAGAAAGGTAACCAGACCCAGAAAGGTACTTCAACATGTTCTTTAGTCTGTGGTTCCTAATCCCAAATCCTCAGATGTGAGAACATAATCTAGAGTAGCCACAGAGACCATAGGCGGTGGAAGTGTACAGTGTGGAGTTGGGTGTGGGAAAGTGCTGGGCTTGATAGGGGAATGGCGGGATACAGGTGATGAGAAGTGAGAAATGGAAAGACAAGGAGGGGAACTCCAACTGGGAAGGAGGGAGGTCAGTGCAGAAGAAGAATGAAGAACAAGGATCACCAAGGTTGTTTGATAAAGCCTCAAAGAATCATGATTTTATATTTACATAAAATTATACAGAATAAAAGTGTGTATGTCTCTGTGTGTGCATCTGTGCATTTATGTATGCCTCTGTGTGTCTGTGTCTTAAAAGAAGTTAAACCACTCTGGCTGAAATGCTCCCACAAGCATCACAGACTAATAAAACAAACAAACAAACAAACAAAAACTTCTGTACTGGGCAAGAATGATTGGTTAGAGTAGTCTAAGTGACTCCCAAAAGACATAGATTATTAATGTAGCCATTGGTTGCCTCTCGGGGATTAAGATTGGTCCCTATTGATGAAAACACCACACACTTAGGTCACCTGACCTAGATGACTCAAGCTGGATCTGACCTAAAAGCATCTTTACTATGGTCTAGCCTCCATGATTCCAGAAAATACTATGCAAGCTGCCAAGAGAGGGAAGCAATTAAACAATTGTACCCAGATGACAATGATCAAAAAGCTATCCATAAAGGTACAATGTGCTAACATGTTGGTGGTAACCTATAGCTGTCTAAGTGGACCTAAGATCCATTCAACATCAGGAAAGTCATGTTAACATTAGTCTATAGCCATTCTTCCAGGGCTAGTAAAGTCATAGGTATTAGAAAAGAATCAACTATCATCACTCTGTTAGACCAGACAATTCCTTCCTACACTCTAAACCTTATCCTTATATCCACAGGTAATGTAACTACCACCCCTCACCAAAGAAGCATCTCTTTACAGCAAATGAAGACTATCAGAGAAAACCACAACTGCACACAATGCAGAGGTCAACAGATTGTGGTGAGCCCAGCCCCTGCAGATGCATCTACATCACAACTCTTGTAGCCGTCAGGGGAGAGACAGTGAAAAAGATGATTAAAGTCAGAATACCATGAGTCTGCTGTGAAACACTCTCTCCTAGAAATGGCTTCATGAACAAGATTGGAACAACGACACTATCAATGGGTATGTTAATAAGGAAGGGGGAAACCTCAGGGGGTCCTACTCCTAGACATAGAGCTACAGGCAACTAGTCTAAATATTTTAAAGGAAAATTACATAGGATTTCATTTTCACTATTCACAAGTTTGTTTCTATTATACCCAATGTGTGTCTTGGATTTATTTTATTCTAAAACTTCTTCATTTAACTATAGGCATCGTTCCTCAATTCAGCCAGGAGTGTCAATGATAAAAACCATGAACTACTTTGATAAATAATCCATTCTTCATCTTTCTTTCAAGTATCATTAAAGTATATAATATCTAAAGGGCTAAAAATTACTCAGAATGTAAAAATCTAAACAACTTCATCAAAGATATTTTATTTCAGAAAAAATACCATCAAAACTTTCAAGCTAATGTATCTAAATAACTCAACTAAAAGATGGTATATCTGAAATAAACTGAAGGTATTTTTCACCAGTATTCATCCAAATACATATGTATTCTCATATAACCTCATCAGTTTATCTCATTGTCATAATCCTAAATTAGAGACTGAATATCAAGCAGATGCTGAAGCATTCATCATCAATACTGGAATTCTGACTCATGACAGTAACACAAAACAGATGTTCCTCTCAGATCCCCTGAAAGGTGACACCATCATTGCTCTTGATGTGGGGTGACTTAAAATTTGCCCACAAAATATCAAATAATAAAAACCAGAGCAGGGCGAATTCCTCACTTAACTTATGAAAGTTAACATTTAAAAGTTCCCATCTCTATTTTGAAGATAGAACAAAGCACTAGAGAAGAGAGCATGTTCTGCTAATGCTTGATGGCACTAACTCTTCAGGGCATTGTGACCTCATTCATAACCAGGCAGAAGGGCAGAACTCCCAGGCCCCATCCTTTGCCCAGTGTGTACGGGATGGTAAGCTTGCCCATCCTACGGGGTCTAACTGCTCAGCCCCTAGCAATGTGAAATGAGTCTGGGATCTCCTGTAACCTGGTCTCAGTAAAAGAATCATCACACCAGCAGTTCTGAGAGAATTTGCCAAGAAAGAAAAGGCAAACAATCCCTTAGCACAGTCCACTTAGTTAATATCTTACATATCTTCAAAGTCTGCATTCTTATCGCTCTGCTAGCATGAATCCGTAGCTGTTTCTAGAATACACAGTGATGTGTACTCTGTGAAAATAAACAGAAAAGCTCAGGTTGATGGTGCCATGTTGCAAGTGATAGAAGCAAAATGTGCTGAAATGAGATCTTTAACAGAGACAGACTCATGAATGCAGAGCTGCCCTCTGTGGTGGAGAGAAGTAGGATCTTTTCTCTTGAGGGAGAGAAATAAGTTAGTGGCAACTCTAACAACAGAAAACAAAAACAAAAACAAACAAAAACAAACAAAAACAAAAAATAAAAAACAACAACAAAACAAAACAAAACAAAAAACCCTTAAGAAACTGAAGGGTTTTTATGGAGTAGGTCAACAGCATAATTTCGAATTCCAAATAAATAACTGGACCCCTCTTCAACATTGATGACTCTCCCAACCCCCTGCTTGGGCTTAAAAACCAGCTCTGTGCCTAACACCTGTGTAACCTCCGCTTCTCAAACTTGGCTGCATACTGGAACCACACTGGGAGCTTTAAAAAATAGTGATGCCTGTAATTCATCCTGGAGGAGTGTTATTTAATTGTGCTAGGGTGTGGCTTGGCCACTGAGAAGCATTAAAAGGCTCCTAAGTGACTATAAATAGAGCAGCTGAGGTTGGGAACCACTGGTGAATTTTCTTCCTCATCTGTAAAACAATGATGACATCGAGAGCAAGTACCTTTTAGGATTATTGCAATGGTGACATATGCTACTGCAGACACAGCGCTTAGCACCATGTCCTGGGTGGGAAGCCCTTGATCAATGTGAGCTATTATATCCTCACCAGGAGGTGAGGGCAAGAACTTACTTGTCAGTAAAAGTCATGCTCACCTTGGCATACGTTATGCTCACTCTGCTCATAGCCTGCTGCACACTGGATCCGGTGGGAAGGGTTGGAAGGGATACGCTGAGGGTCAGCTGGGTTCCTCCGGATGACAAAATTATTTCTGCCAGTTTGCACTTCAGGGCCAGCAACTGCAGTAGCGCTGGCCATGAAACCACCTCCAGGCACCACACCACTGGTTGCCACGCTACTGGCAGCTATGCTTCCAGTGGCAGCACCCGACGATGCTTCTGCAGCTGGTGTTTCTTGCTGAGGCTGTTCATTATTGACAATAATTTGGGCTGTTTTAGGAAGGCAGAGGTATCCTCCATAGTGGTTGACACATTTCATTCCACCTTTGCAAGCGTCTGGGACAATGTCACACTCATCAATATCTGTAGTTAGTAATAAAACAAGTCAGCAATCTTCTCAGAAGAGAGTATGGTTAGCACACACAGAATAGGAAGAGCAACACACGAGATGGAGACAGAGAGCTGTTTTTGGATCAGGAGTCTTAGAAGCAAGCTTACCTTTGCACTGCTGTCTTACAGGATCCCACTCATATCCATCGGTGCATTGCTGTAAAGAAAACATCAAACATGGAGCTGGGAGACAATGAATGGCCTCCCTGAGAAGCTATTGTAAAAGGATTATCTGATGCTTGGGACCCTAGGGAAATGAGATGGGCAGTTAGTTCCACATTCTTCCCTCTAAGACTAGTATGGCTAATGGGCAGTTTAGGGGTCCCTTCTCTTTCTTAGCTGGCCCAAGTCCTCAGTGTGTTTGGAACACTTGTCCATCACCATCTTCTTAGAATTCTTTTTCTCTTTTGAGACTCTTCACCCCAATATTTCTGACCAATCTCCCCCACTTGGTATTATAAATTTTACAAAAAACAAAGGTCAACTGGGTTTCCTATTTTGTCCCATCCTGAGCTCTTGCATCTCTTTAAGTCTTCCTAAGGATCTCTAGAGTAGAATCCAGTCCACTGCTACTCAGGTCCATTCCACCTGTAGCTGTTCCTCTCTCCATCCTCAGAATGTGGAGTTCAAGCTGTCAAGTGTTCCCAAGACACACCACATATGGCCAATGAAAGTTAACTAAATGCTGGCCCCCATCATCAAAGTTGCACAGTCTTTTTTCTAAACCCAATACTCCTTCCTCTCCCACAGCCTTATGGGAACCAGAGGAAGCCTGACTGTAGCTGTATACCATGGACTGCCTGACCTGGAACCTTTCTCCTTCCTCTGAAACATATCTGAAGGGACTCACTCACTCTGTCACATGGACCTGAGCCCTCTTGAGAGCTGCCACCATGCTGTCTATGACATTGGGACCTAGGCCATGCCTTCTGTTTGTTAATGTCTCTCTTAGTAACTATCTCATCATCTCTCCTCAAACCCTAAATATCAGAACATTTGTAACAGTGCTGTGACTCAGAAGGGGGTACCAATGAAGCAGATAGTCCTTGGGGGCCCCTCTTCCCTTGCCACTGCTTTCTCCATCATGACACCCTGGCCTCTTCTCCACTGGTGAATTTTTGGGTTCATTAGGAGCTTTGGCTATCTGCTAACTTTTTTCTAAAACCTTGGTTTTGGGTCAGATGATGCCCTGGGCCGACTCCATTGCCCTAAACCAGCTGAGTCTTACCTTTAGGACATATGTTGCACCCTCTGCACCACCCCCCAGAAGGAAGACGGATGCTGGAAACCTCTTAATGGAAATTTTTTTTATGTCAGAATTCTTCCAGACAGTACAGTGCACTGGCAAGTGGTCAGAGGGTCTGCTCCCAGAGTCCTTTTTGACCATAGGAACTGCTTTCCTCTATGTCAATCATGCAGCTCTTTCCCCATGATTCTACTAAAAATCCATCCCCAAAGCCTGGCAGGAAACTGGGACCTTTCTCTGTGGGAGGTACCAACTCTGCCTGCTTTCTAGCCAGACACCCTGCTCCATAAATCCCCAAGACAGCTCACTGCTGCCCCCTCCTCCTCTGTGACAGCCAGCGACCTAGTAGGGTCTCTGTAAATTCTTCCCTTTTCTCTGCTTCCCACACTTTGTATCTAGCCTCCACAGGCCTCGTGGCCTTCCCTCTCTCTATGGCCACCCTCCAGGATTTTCCTCCAGGGCTGCATCAGAACTGGACAGTATGTGGTGCTGCTTGCTCCCAGGCAACTTCATTCTGTGTTCAGTCAGCAGGCTCCTAAACTTTGTGGTCTCCAGATTCTCTTCAGCCACACCTCCTTCCCTCCCCTTCCAATCTGCAGGAACCACACACCTGAGACATGAAGGTCTATGTCCTACCCAAACGCATTGGGTCTCCTTCCGCTCTCAGCTACAAGTGGAAAAACCCTTTGTGAGGGGAGGGGTTGCTAAAAGGGCCTAAACTGGCTCCAGGCCAGAGGTGTCTTCTGCAGCCTTGCTGCTCAGACAGAACTTCTCTCTGCTATGCCCCTCGCAGGGTTGGATGTAATCATGGTATTTCAGTGTGCCGTCATTTGTTTATGTGCTGCCCATGTTTCCTGGCTTATGTTCATAAGTCACATATATGTAAATTATCTTTAGTTGCCATTCTGTATTCCAAGGAAAAAGCTAAATAGAACCCGTAGTTACTGTAAATGAGTGGTGCTATATACCTGATTTTAAGATATGGGTATGTGCCCGAGTCAGTAGGTCTGTGTATATGTTTACAAACATTTTAAGATACAGATGTTTTTTGTTCAAAGACATACAGGGACATTTACAAATGCCTGCCTGTGCTTGGTTATATCATAAATGTAACTTCTCTTTTACAGTGACTTTGAGTGATCTCCATGCTGCCTGTACTTATGACTGTTAGACATTCAGATACAACACGCATGTTTTCTGTGTTTTAAATATGATTTGTTGAGTTTTCTCTTAAAAGATAATTAAAAATTTTATTTTTAATAAAAACTGTTATTTGAAATTAGATATAGAAAGCCATCAAATTAAAAAAGATATGTAAAAGTTATGTATATAAGATATATAGTTGGTAACAAAGGTTAAAAAGGTCTATTGTCTTTAGACAAAAGAGATTTTATGGGAAATTTATGAAAGGTGGTTATAATATAGTTGAAACCTAGTTATAAGTACTACAGCCAAAATTCTAAGTATGGAGGTAAAATTAATGTTCTAGTTCTATCTTTTGTTACAACAATAAGTTTTTCTTTTTTTTTCTATTTTCATGTATGTGTGGTATGCATTTATGTGTGTAAGTTTGCACATGTGTAGGTGTATGTGTGTATGCATACATGCATGGGAGGGCTGTGCTGATGCCAGGGAAGATCTCAATAGCTTTTCTACCTTATTCAATGAGGCAGTCTCAAACAAAACCAGAACTCCCTGGTATGTGCAGTCTCACTAGCCAGCTTGCTCTGGAAAGTCCTTGGGCATTTCCTTTCAAGGCTATCATGTCAGAGGTTGCCATGTTCTCCCATCACTTACGTGGTTCTGGGGATCCAAAGGCTTGTCTTCACAATTGCATGACTGGCCATCTCCCCAGCCTCTAGCTTCCCTAAGTTTCTATTTTTCTCTTAATAATATTTACAAAAGATTAGGGATTTACTTACTTAATTTATATGTATGTGTGTGGGTTCATGAGTGCCATGGAGTCAGAGAACAATTTTGGGGGTTCAGTTCTCCTTTTCTACTATGTGGGGCCTGGGATTGAGTGCAGGTTGTCTGCATGGCCAAGCACCTTTACCCATGAGAAAAATCTCATGGCCCAAGGATTACATTTTGTTATCATAGAAAATGAGATACTTAAAACCTGTAAGTTAATCTCTCCAAATGCTAAACTTGTTTTCCTATTGAGCGAAGCCGTCACTTGCTGGGTACTCAGGGTCTTAACATTAGGGAAGATTCTGCCACAAAAGATTATTTCGATTGAGATATTCCCGCTAAGTTACATACTTATTATAAAACTTACTCTGGTAGACAAATAATTAAATCTATTTATAAGTATGGCCCCTATACAAATTTCATTGTGACTATGATCCTCAGTCCTCTAGATGGATGTAAATTGCTAGTTTTTCACAGTAAGCCTGTGGGAACTAAAGACAATGAAATGATTTCATTAATCAAAAGAAGACCCTCTCAGCCTAGAGGCAAAGTATTGTGCTTTCATATTTCTTAAATTCTGCTATATGTAGGAGATACTTGAAATTTAGCTTGGTGCATTTCTAAGGCTAAAGATTCTATTGTATCCTAAATTAAATCATGTTTTTGATGATTTATGCAGACCACTCACCCTACTTGGACCAGCTTCTCATCTTTTAAAAAATCTCAAATATTAAAGAAACTAATTTGAAATTGACCTGAATTTATTTTAAATCTTCCTAAAGAAATTATATTTGTGGCATATCTACAATTTAATCTAAACTCTTAAAGCCAAACCTTAACTTTTGCTAATTAAAAAAATTAACTTAGTCCAACCACTGAGATTGTTAGTCTTCTGCTTTGACTCAATTTACTCCAGTTGGGAATAACTGAAGATTTCCAATGATCGTCTCCAGACTGCACAAGAGAACTGTTTTATTTACTGTATCTTTACTTCAAGATGTACTACTTTTTGGGTTATTTTAATGTGTGACATAGTACTTCTGTAACATCAGATATAGAGGACAGGACAAAATCAGACCTAATCATAATGGCTAATTGACTAATATGATCCAGGAATGTCTTTCTTCACAGCTTTGGTAACTACTTCTCTCTCCCAAAGACCCTTTCTGATTAAGAATGACCTTCCTGGCACTGTGACACATAGAAGACTATTTTTCATGTTCCTTCAAAAGCTGTACTTCGTCACTACAATTTCAACAAGTGATAGATGTGCTTTCAGCACCTCAACAGTGAGTGTGGACAGGTCCAAAGGCAAAAGTTATATCTGGGGCTATCTTACCCTCTCTAACTCCATGATACACCCCATGTCAGCAGGAGACAAACAAATTGAACATGGTGCCCAGTATGTCAACCTCTATATAAAGTTATTCCTCCATCTATTTTTATATAAATAAAAAGACAGGGAATATTAGAACCCATACCAACTGCTGCCTCTGTAATTGTGTTTACATTTACCCTCACAGTTCATCCTGTGTACACTCCCCTAGGCTAATAGAGTCTGAGCAATCAGAGGTTACTAGGGAATGTATTTATGATGGAGGCACTTTAGCTAAATGCCAACTCCCATCCTCAAGATTCTACCCTCAACATCACATTCCTTCAGTAAAATGCAAGATTTTCTCCTCCCTGCTGCCCATGAATCAGAGTCAGACTGACTACAAGTGTGTACTCAACCACACACATGGCAGCCCTCTGCTGCTGAAACCTGTATGTGTATAAGGGACCTTGTTCACTCGCCACAGGAGCTTGAGTACCCCCTCCCATCCCGAGCCTCCAGCATGCTGTTGTTTGTTTGTCTATAGCACTAGGGTCTGAAATCCCTACAGAGCCTCCAGCATGCTGTTGTTTGTTTGTCTATAGCACTAGGGTCTGAATCTCTCAGAGCCTCAGCTGTGCTGAGACTTCTGTCTGTCTGTGGCATTAACAACTCTTCTAGCACATTTCTTACACAAAAGGACAATCTGCCTCAGTTGTCTCCTTCACACTGTGAACCTCAAACCTTTCACTGAGTATGTAGCTTCCTGATGTTCTGACTTTAGTCCACCCCTGGATCTGTCCCTAGCTCCACTTCTTCACGGAACAACCACCCATCAGCTGTTCATATTAGTCTAATCTGGTCTGGGAATTCAAGATGGTGACAACCTTGTCATTTTCCTTTGGCAGATCATGAGCCACAAGAGCAATGGGTTATGGAATGAGTTGTACCAATATGTCAGGGGTGTGACAGATGCTTTCGTGTGGAAGGGGACAGTAGGAAAGTCCTTGCAGGCATGGTGAGAGTGAACTAGGTCTTACTCAATGAGGGTTTTTCCCCCTGGGAGCTGTGGAAATTCTAGGAATGGGATCATTATGAACAGAGTCATAAAACTATTGAAGAAGGAAAGAGTTGCATGTAGTTCTGGTTGGGGTTTGAGGTCAGCAAGACAGGCAGGACTGAATCCAGGAAGCCTTCTCCTTCAGAGTGAGGTACTAGATTCTACCCTGAAGGTCGGGATGCCCACATTTTACTAGGCCTCTGAACTACTTGGGGTGGTGGTTGAGGGAGACTTCTCAGCTCTCAAGGATCTGACTCTGTCAGTCTAGATAGGATGCCTGGAATCTGATTCCTTGACAAGCACTTCAGACAGTGGCCATGAAGGTTGTCATAAATTACACCCTGGAGAAGATAAGAAGCCTCTGCAGAATCTTCACACTCAGGAAGTAGTTTGATCAGATGGTAACTGACAAAGTCAAAGTGAAGAAGATGCTTCAAGGCAGACTCCATAGTGACATAGACAGATTCATGAACTAGAAGTGAGAATTGACTGTGCAAATAAATGCTTAGGAAGTACCTGGCTGGTGGAGGCACTGAGGCCAAGTCAGCTATTTTAGTGACATCTGAAACCTACTAGGGTGAAAGATCAACTTCTGTTACCCCTTACACTAATTTGTCTTCATTTTTTCAACACTGTTTAAGATGTCTCCATCACCTTATGAAAGACTCAGAGGCATCAGCTCTGAAATCTCTTCTTGTTTACTTTCAAGCTCTGACCACTCTTCCATTTCTATAATTACCATATTGACACAGCCTTCCTGGCCTCACAAAGATGCAGGACTCATTTGGCTTACATTCTGTGCACAATAGTCATGCTGGTCAGGTTTTGCACCCCCACCTACAAACTCACAGTGGCCTCAGACATGCACAGCTCCTTTTGCACATCCACTCTCCTTGTTTCACCTGCTCATCTTCTGGTGTCTTGTTGGCTATGCCAGGCCTTCCTACAACAATCTGAGATGCTCAGAACCTCCCTCAAGAGCCAGCATTAAGTTATTCTCTTTTACACTAGCAGTGACATTAACCACTTTGCCCTTTCTATTTCTTTAGTGATTTGTATAATCTATGATAATGTTATTCAGAAACTTTGTAGTTTTCAACAGTATCTTCCCTGGTATAGAAGGCTGAATTGTCTCAGTAAACAAATAACCTTAACTTCTTTTGGTAGTGAAAGAGTTGTTTATGTAGATATTTAGTATGTTAGTGATCTATATTTCTAATATGAAAGGGGAATATAAGACTGCCTGTTATGTAGATACCAATCTTTCAAACCATTCCAAGATGGCCACTCATTTCAATAATTATGTGATAAATAAGGAAGACTTGAAGTTTGTTTTAGGTATTCAGCCCGTTACATTAGTGCATTTAATATGGCTCTACTATTAAACATGCCTAGACTGAAGTTAGTTTTCCTACTTGTTGGCTGTGTAGCCTTAAATCAAGTGGATAACTTTTCTGTTCTTCCATTCCACCATCAGCAGGACAGTGTCAGTCATCTCACACTTGGCTGCAAGGGTGAAAAACGTATGTTCACAGTGTGGTGACTAAGCATGGCTAGTCGCCTCTGGTCCTTTAACCATCATACAGAGCTTAAAGGAGAATAGGCTTATATCTCTTAGCACAAATGGGGCTAAGAAACATCATATCTAGAAGAACTTCATAATAATAATCTTAAAACTGTAGGGCTTAACCCACAATAGACACTTTCTGCTAAAAACAAATATGATTTAGGTGATTGGAAAAAGGAGGAGGTATGAGATAAATTCTAAAAGCAGTAATATCTGCCTAGGAGACGGAGATGGAAAGATCATGCATTTGGGGCCAGACTGGGCTGCACAGTGATTTTTAGGACAGAATCTCAGAAGAAAAGGAACAAATCTTTTATTAGATGAATAATAGCTCACTGAAAAGGTGGTAAGCTTAGTCTGAGTAACAAAACATTTTCATTTGAAGATAAGTAGCACATGCTTTCATTTTTCTTTGTTTTAATGTTAAATTAATACAGTGTTTTCACTAACCTACAGCAGAAAGGAACATCTGCCGAACGGGTAATAATATTCTAGGGATAACATAATGCAAAAGTGAGATAATGTTTATTATTAGTGATTGATATTAGCTCACTTCTGAGCTTTATTCTAAAAACATTCGCATTCTTTTTAGTAGGATTACTTAATTTTAAAAATTGGAAAGAAGTAGAAAAATGTGTTTTTCATATACTCACCCAGGACACATGTCATTCATCTCAACACTCCCTGAGTTAGAAACCACAAAACAGAGGACACAGCACCTCATCACAGCGAGGTGAACACTGGCCTGCTCTCTCCTCACACACTGGGTGGTGGGAGGGACAAGATGATATTTTGAAAATTTACTAAACATTGGTTATACTAATGCAACGAATTAATTGACTAGATTTGACTCAGAAATGCCAGAGATGCCAATAGAAGTTGCAAGACTAGGAGGCACACAATGTATTTTAAATCCACTTTAGCAAAAGCTATATCCTACTGACAGATAAACTTTCTGCAGGGTTTGTACACCAGTAGAAAGATCCATGAACTCAGTAAAGATCGCTTCATGAGGACAGAGGTCACAGGCACAGATGAGACAGTGTCCACACATGATACTCTGCATACCTTGGTTTCACCTGCATATACCCAGGCTTTCAGATTCCTCAAAACCCATCAATTCATTGGGTGTCATAGAAACAGCTTACACAGATTTGAATTTTGAAGGGCCCATTTGGGCCTTTCACAAGTCATTCTATTTTGAACCCCATCTCATCTGGTGATCTGAATGCACCTTAGGAAGGACCCGGGGGAGTTTATCAGGACATCCTAAATCTGAGTCACATTACAGTGTTGTCTAAGTTATTTTGCTTCACAGAGCGCAGCTGGCTTTCACTGGCAGAGGCAGGCAGTCTTGTGTCTACCACTTAATAATACACTTATCTCAAATTCCATCACCCCTTACCGTGTATGTGATGGTTTCCTCAGTGTACTGTGACCTTACCAGCACCACCGTCAGCATAGTTAGGAAAACTGTTTGCAACATCGTGACTCTCTGAGGGAAACACAAAGATTTGTTTAGTGTCTGCTGCCTGGAAAATCAAAACTTTAGCAGTGAAGAAACAGGCAAGAAAGGGAGGGTCGAGAGCCCAAGATACTCAATTTCCAATCTGCTTTCTCACCCCCGCCCCCAACCACTAAGAGGAGAAACCCTGCAGAAACTCATTTACTTCATTTCATTCATCCCATACCAAGGATGCTCAGTGTATATGTATACCGCACCTATGCACTAGGCTCCAAATAAGGGGAGTCAAAAGGGGGTTACAGAATATGAGCAATTCCAAAGACCACTATGCGATCCCCGGCCTCCCGCGGAGTTGGGAATGGGCAGCATCTGTCCATTCTCTGGAACCTTAGAAAAACCTCTAGCTGGTGAAGTTCTCCACCCCACCCCCACCCCCAGCAAAAATACCTGCGAACCAATATGAATCACGTGGCCTCAGACTTTCTTCCCCCTTTTAAAAAAAAGTCCAAAATACCCAAACTAGAAGAGCCATCTCCAAGTTCCTAGTAGAATATCCCACAGAGCTTCTCATTCACCGCAGAGCGACTTCTCAAGTCCCCTTCTCTTAAAGCTCCATTTCCAGCCCTGCTCTAGGAGCACAACTTTGTTTCCACACTCGCGGCGAGATCAACAGCTCCAAGTCACTGATGCCTTATTCCTTCGTTCCCAGGTCTCAAAATGTGGTATGCACAAGGTCTAGGCTGCCTAGGGTCGGACATCAGACTGCACTGCAGCATTGGGTGGCAGTTTTGGGGTGCCTGGCTTGGTGCCTACACGGAATTGAGCTCCGCTCTTTTGCTCTTTTGGGTGTAAGCTACTAGGCGCCTGTCAGAGAGAGTCGCTGAGCGCTTTAGCTTCCCACCAGCCACTGCGCAATCCAGGTGCCTCTCAAATCTCGCACATCAGTCCCTGGACCTAGAGACCACGGTCACCAGCAAAGCTCTCGGAGTTGGTAGTCAGCGCGTACGCTCTGCCCATCCCAACAGATTTCACCCAACTTGTAGCATAGGCTGACGGATTTCATTTCCAGACCCTCACCTTCACCTCCCTCTCCTCTGCCGGGTTGCACAGACTGGGACAATTCTTGGGTCACCCCACCACACTCCCCGGCGCAGCCATCGCGGGTGGAGCGCGCACCCTGCCGGGCGGGGGTGGCGGGGCGGGGGTGGTGAAAAGGGGGGTTGCTGGCAGCGGCACCAGCCACAGGAGGAGGAGAGAGGGAGGAGAAGTTGGGCGAAGGAGGGAGGAGGAGAGAGAGGGAGGCGCAAGCGCCCAGCCCAGGCTTCAAGCCCTCGGGAAAGCGCGCCTCTTGGCGTTGGGGTCAGGGGTGCCCAGCTGTCCTCGGCGGTAGGCCCCTTGGATCCTGATTCACAAGGATTTGTTTGAGACGTGATGCCCAGATATCACTCCCATAGCGCTTCTTAGGTTCTACAGAAATGGCTTTTTTTTTCCCTTATCTCAACAAGTGATTCTTGGAAGAGAAAACTAAGGTTATTCCGAGAGCTGGTCCTTTACTTTTCATTTCGATTTTTTTTGTCTTTTACTTTTTGGGGGGTGGTGTGGGAGGAGTCAAATGGTGAAACATGAGAATGAATGTGTGAATGTGTTCATTTCTTGGCCTACTAGGTGCTTGGTGTTGGTAGTGGGCCAAAAGGAGCTCACCTAAGGAAATGTGCGCCTGCCTTAATGCATGCCTGTCTCTGACCCGCTGTGTGTGTGTGTGTGTGTGTGTGTGTGTGTGTGTGTGTGTGTGTGTGTGTGTGTGTTGTTGTTGTTGTTGTTGTTGCTGGTCTTTCAACTCCTCTCCATTCTCATCTACAGTTTTTAATTTCTCCCCAATACTGCTCACCCAAAGTTATGTTAGGCATTTGCTTCCATCTTTCATAATAGTAGTGGAATTTCAGGAATCTGAAGATATTTTTTTTAAAACCTACTTCATCAAGTCATACCACACAGATTGCAACTATCTATGATAGTTTCACTAGCCCTAGAGTCGGGCAGTTCCCTTCTGCTGCCGGTGTGCCTTTTAGGAACTAAGTTACCAAATGCATTTCAGAAGTAATAGAAGCTGATAACTTAGGAGGGCTAAGAACGAGCTTGTTCAGAGGCAGACTGCAGAAGGTGAGGAAGTGGAGAGTTGGCAGAGACTGTTGGAGGAACCCTGCCAGGTGGTTCCTCCTGAACCTATTAAGTGTGTAATGATTGTAGCAAAGACTTTGACTACTAAGTTTCTAGTAAGTCCCTTGACCCCTCCTGTCTTCAATAACTCCAAAATGCTTTATTTTAAAAAGTTGATTCTCCCTTTCTGTACCAAAAAAAAAAAAAATCATCTCTCTATGTGTTTTCTTCCTTAAACTCTCCAGCTTTTTCTTTGGAGCAACGAGGTAAAAAGCTTCCGATCATCTATCTATAGTCCAGTGATCTTCTTGCACACCCAGATGCTGGGTTGCTACCTTTATTTAGACATTTGACGGGCATTTAAGACTGAACACATTCAGGCCCCATCCACTCCTCCAGCCTGCTACACCCATCGGCTTCATCATCTCAATCAAGAGGAATTTTTATCTCTTTGTGCTCACATCCAGTTAGCTTCATTCTTTGCTTCATGGATACTGCATTCAGTTCTCCAGAAAACTACGCTGACTTTTCCCTTTGAGATGTATTCAGAAGTGGACCATCCTCATCATCTTTGCAGCCACGAAGATTCAGACTTTTCCATCTGGATTATTACAACTCCTGATTGATCTCTCTGTGTGCACCTTTGTTCCCCTGCAGCTGTTCAGCTCAGAAGTTCATGTGAATAGAACCATACAGCATATAATTGTTTTGGATCTGGTTTCCTTCACTTGGCATGCTTTTGAGATGAAGCCCTGTTAAGGGCCCAGAAATTCATTTTTTTTCATTGATGGGTGGCATTCCATTGTATGGCTGTATCTCAAGTTTTCTGTTGGCTTTTTGATGAATATTTGGATTGTTTATGAATAAAGCTCTTTGGGGCATTCACTTAGATTTTTTTTAACTAGGTATGTAGTTTTCCTTATAGGAAATTCTTGAGGAGTGGAATTGTACCTTTATAAGCAAAGGTTACAACATTTTCCATTCTTACTTTGCTCGTGACTTTATTGACAGTTGGTACTTGACAGTTGCAATGCTATCCTTCTGGTGGCTAACTTGTATCTGTGAAGTTTTACATAACATTTCTCTTATGTTCACAACACAGCAATCTTTTTCATTTGCCTATTGGTAAAACCTTTTAAGGATTTTCTCCAAATCTTTTGTTGATTTCCTTATTGATTTTGTCTTATTAGTTGTGGAAGTGCTTTTCAGTCATCCTTCTAGTCCTTGGTCAGAAACTTGAACATTTTCTCCTTGTCTTTTCAATGTGTTACCGATATCTTTTGAGAGTCAGTGTTTTTAATTTTTAAGAAGTTCATGGCCTTTTAATATTTTGTCCTTTTTTTCTACTTAAAAATCTGATTTGAGAAAAAAATTATTTTTACCATTTCTAAAATTTTACTACTTTTGTCAAGTAGAAGGACAGATTTTCCATTTCCCAAGGTTTTTTAAAAACGACGTGTGTGTGTGTGTGTGTGTGTGTGTGTGTGTGTGTGTGTGTGTGTGTGCGCACACGCACGCACACTCGAAAGAACTTGTGCACATGCATGCATGTGTGCCACATGTGCAGAGGTCAGAGGACAGCTTGTGGAAGTCAATTCTCTCCTTTCACCATGTGGGCCCCAAGGATTGAACTCAGATTGTCAGGCTTGGCAGCAGGTGCCTTTTCTCAGCTGAATCATCTTACTGGTCCCTTGAGGTTGTTCCGAGGCTAGAACAAGAAACCTATGAAGAATATCAAACACACGAAAGTAATTGTTCGTAGATATCAGAACATCTGCTGCTCCACCCTAACAGGATATTGTTCAGGTATCACTCCCTGTTCTGACAGTGTTCTGGCGAGTGTAGATGTGATGCAACCAGTGATGTTGCTTGATGGGTGCTGTTTCATGGTGGATCTTTATTCCATGTAGGACTAATAAGGGCTAAAATAGAAAGAGCTGTTTTGTTTGTGTCTTTTTTGTGGTGCTGGGAATGAACCCAGGGCTTTATGAATGCTAGGCAATCACTTTGCCTCTTAACTATAGCCCAGACTAGAAAGGAAGGGCAGTCTGTATTCACTATACTGCCTGTGTTATGCTTTGCTGTTGTCATCACATACTTGTCAGTAGTTGCCACACTGTTTCTGTCTGCTCCTCATCTTTCTTCTGTGAATAGCTTCTTGGCTTTCCTTTGGAAACCAAGGCATCTGGTGTAAGACCTTGATGAGGTCTGGTCATTGAGTGTCCTTAAATGTACACAAAAGAAAAAGCCTTAAGCTCAACAGTGTAGTTAAGGGGCAATGGGTCAGAACCAGAACAACAAGCATGTCAAAAATCAGCTATTGGGTTTGGTGACATGACTGAATCACTGGCTTACTGGCTTTGGTAGTGATTTGCTTCTGTGTGCTAGTGGCACTAAGGACACAGACCATCTTTCCTCTTCTCTGGTCCAGAAGTTAACCTGTAGGGAGAGATCTTACTATGCACCTGTGGCCATGCCCAAACGGAGTGGTCAGCACCACAATGTTGGAATAAGATTACCAAACATAAGATTATGTAGGTTAATTTTATTGGGAAGAAATCACTTACACAAGAAACTCAGGGTCAGCACTCCAAGCATCCAATCTCAGCTGCCCTCCAAGATCCAACCAGAACCCTGAGTAAGAGTATGCCTGCTTCTCCTCCCCACTTTAATCCCACACACCCATTATGCCACAGGTACCTAATAAGATCTCTCCCAACAACAGCCCTTCTAGCTGTGATGCCAAGATCTCCAGTCTCCAGACCTGCCTTTGCCCTCAGGCAAACTGAGGGCTGGGTATCCTAAGAGCCCTTACTTCATTTTATCCTTTGGCCAGATTATACATACCTTTGAATCCAGACAACATGGTTTATAGAGAACATTTCTTTTTTTCTTTTTCTCCATATTTTTTATTAAAATTAGAAACAAGATTATTTTACATGTCAATCCTAGTTCCCTCTGCCTCCCCACATCCCCTGCTCCCCCCAACTAACACCCTACCTATCCCATACACTTTCTGCTCCCCAGGGAGGGTGATGCCATCCATAGGGGGTCTTCAGAGTCTTTCATGTCTTTTGGGATAGGACCTAGGCCCACCCCCTTGTGTCTAGGCTCAGGGAGAATCCCTCTATGTGGAATGGGCTCCCAAAGTCTATTCTTATGCTAGGGATAAGTACTGATCTACTACAAAAGGCCCCATAGATTTCCAAGGTCTCCTCACTGACACCCATGTTCATGGGGTCTGGATCAGTCCCATGCTGCTTTCCCAGCTAGCATTCTGGGAACCAAGAGTTCCCTTTGTTTAGGTCAGCTGTTTCTGTGCATTTCTCCAGCCTGGCATTGACTCCTTTGCTCATCACTCCTCCTTCTCTGCAACTGGATTCCAGTTCAGTTCAGTATTTAGCTGTGGCTATCTGCTTCTACTTCCATCAACTGCTGGATGAAGGTTCTAGGATGGCAGTTAGTCATCAATCTCATTATCAGGGGA